GTACCAGTTAGGTGCTTTTAAGGTCATTTTGATGAGCAATCATGGCCGGGATGGTTAGACAACAGTCTCGCGCTTTAGAGTACAGAGATCGAATCCCTGGCAGCCAATGCCCGCCAAACCAAATTAAGAAAACTAATCGTTATCGCTTCCATAACCAGACATCTATCACAGGATATATGAATATCTATAAATCACTATGATATATGGATATCACTTTAAATATGGATATCTATAACGATAGATATCTAGTGAGTCCTCCAATAATTCCAAGATTACATTTGGTCATATAGTCGGAATTTTTAGTTTTGCTATCTGCTTCCTTACCTGCTATAATATCAAAACCTGCTTCGTCTATATTTCTCTCTCTCTCACCCTCTCTCACCCTCTCTGACCTCTCCTGCTGCCTGTCGCTGCCTCCATTCCCTGATCACCGCCGAGAGCTGCTTGAGTGTGTCAGATGAAGAGGAGGGAAAGCCCCCTCTTCTTCACGACGGGGCAGACGATAAGATTGGTTTCCAAATGGAGGGAAATTTCCTTGCGAGCGTCGGCTGGAGAAGTCAACACATCATCACGTCTAGCAGTTAACCTTATTGAGCTTTCAGGCTCTTGCAAAAAGCTTTGATAAGAGGTTTTGCGCACCTTATGGATAACCTATAATCAAGTAAGAAGATCTGTGGGGGGGGCGGCGGGGAAGAGGAGCTCGAAGCATCAGATAGCTTTCAGACGTTGGTTGAATAGACTTAAATTGCCAGTAATGTGATGAGATTTGCAGTGTTGATTTGTATGATGAAAACTGCCATCTCGTGTAACAGCTGGCGATTAAGCAGTGTAAATAAAATAGAAAAGTGTAAATTTAGATTAACAACTGATAAATAGTGCACTTGTGAAAGGGAATATGTATATCTGACTCTTAAGAGGTGAGATATTAGGATAATGCATTCACTGTGTGTCTGCTAAACGCAAATACTTTGTTTTGCATTTCTTGTTCTTGTGTTTGGAGAAAATAATCTGCCTTGTCTGGATAATTAATTCAAATAAATCTATATTTGAATACTTTGCATAAAGTATCCACTTGTACTGATACAACGGCGGCTGTGCTTCATACAGGGTCGGTGTTCGATTCCCTGATGATCCAAAATGGTTTTGCTCTCCATCCTTATATTCGAATTCCATTGTCATTTATTCCTTCTCCTAATTGGTATATAGTCATACTGGCTTAGCGTTTTTCCCTCATAATCTCTCTACTGAATTACCTTTGCATGAAGGGAAGGGAACTATCAGGAGAAAATGCCAAGCCATTACGACTATATAGCACTGGTAAGGGATCAGGATAAGGATCTGTGATGGGACGGGGGAGGGAAGGAATGGTGCCCAACCACTTCGACGGTCGGGGATTGAAACCTTTGCATTCAAAATCTTCATTAAAATATTATTCTCATGCGTCCTGTCTATTTGCAGGCGATGAGTCACAATAACGTGGCTACAGTATGTTGACCAGACCACACACTAGTAGGTGAAGGGACGATGACGTTTCGGTCCGTCCTGGACCATTCTCAAGTCGATTGTGCCTTTTCTTCATAATTCTCACAATCGACTTGAGAATGGTCCAGGACGGACCGAAACGTCGTCGTCCCTTCACCTTCTAGTGTGTGGTCTGGTCAACGTCCTGTCTATTTACATATAGTGTTGGCGTAAGTACTGAGAGGTACAGGACAATTTTATGGAACATCGATTGAACTAAAGAGAATTTAATAGTTAAACTTTCACAACATCGAGGGGCGAAAAGTTTGTGAATGACCCATATTTTGTACCGAACGGTCCTATAAGGATAGTTAACCATCCCCTGCGCAATTTTCCACTCAACATAATCCCAAGCATGAGTGGCTGATAGTATCCTATGACCATCCAATTATAATTTTTACTACCGTAGAAGAATAGCAATAGTATATGACCCTAACTTATATCACTTTGACTATCATAGGAGGATGGTAATAACAGCTGAACAGGCTATTAATACCGTAACTATCGTCTCTGGTGGACTATTCCACTTTACGTCATCATCTCCGTAGCAGATGCCCAACCACTTGGGGTGGACGGTAGAGCGACGGTCTCACGTCATGCAGGTCGGCGTTAAATCCCCGACCGTCCAAGTGGTTGGGCACCATTCCTTCCCTCCCTTGTCCCATCCCAAATCCTTATCCTGACCCCTTCCAAGTACCATATAGTCATAATGCCTTGGCGCTTTCCCCTGATAAATCCCTCCGTAGCAGATCAGTTGGCAGTTTCCATTCCATATCAACCATTCCATCTCAATTCCAACACCATAACCCCCCCTCCCCCCCCCAAGCCTGCCCTTGAAGTCAGATATGACCGTCAAGGTATTGATCAGAGAACTTTAAAGGTTCCTGGACAAACACACGTGACTACGGTGCCCTGGGTATGTATATATGGCTATGGCACCAGCTGTCTGTACAGTGAACTGCACCAGTGTAATGATCCTGGCATCTTCGATCATCATGAATAGTCTGTATGGAGATATATTTCGATCTAGAAATACTTTTAATTTAAAACCTGTTTTCAAACAAAAAAGTTAGTTTTGATGAATTTTTCATCTTAGAAAATATACACTATTACGAAGGAACAGAAAATCATGCATTAAATATTAAGTCTCGAGCCAATACTAAAATATAAACATACTAAATGAAGAATTAGCTAATTAATTTGACTAAACGATCTGAGAGCCAGTTATCCTTCAAGAAAATGTTTAACACGTTCTTAGAAAAGGAAAATGTACCGAGTAGAAACACTAATGTAAGTCACATTAAATTGTACTCATAAGAGCCGTTTCATATTATTCATATAAATCTATCATATATAGATTTATATGATATAATTTTTCATATAATGATTTTTGTCTCATCTGGGTTCTTATCCTAGTTTATCCCTCTACCCCCCATTATACACACACACACACACACACACCCCTGCGGCCAGTGGCTGAGAGGGAGGGGCTGTGGCTGAGAAGACAGCGCTTGGGACTTGTAATCTTATGGACCGGGGATCGATCCCCGGCGATGACGGAAACAAATGGGAAGTTTCTTTCACACTGATGCCTCTGTTACCTAGCAGTAAATAGGTACCTGGGCGTTAGACAGCTGTTACGGACTGTGTCCTGGGGATGTGTATGTGTGTGAAAAAAATTTATAATTGAGAAGCGGGTTGAAAGAGCAGAGCTCAACCCCCGCAAACACAACTAGGTGAATACACACATTAAACTAAACATATCTATCAATCATATCTATCAATTATCAAATTTATAATATCCGAACAAAAATAGTGAAATTCGTCTTGATATGCAACTCTGCCTATTAGGTACGATATATATATATATATATATATATATATATATATATATATATATATATATATATATATATATATATATATATATCCTCTGTTTCACTCACGAAGTCCAAAGAGCGATTATTTACTTAACCTTTAAAGCACAATAGTTACCTTGATGGTGATGGGGAGTCGAATAGCTAAGCGAGTGTGTAAATTACCCTGTCCTCCGCTGACAAGCTGCAGGATGAGGAATGAGCCAATCAGAGACCTCCCCCACTCTCGCTGTCAAAGGTCTGCAGCCAGTTGACGGTGTGGACGGCGTTTGACGGCTCCTGTCCATCGGTAATCGCCACAACGGGGGGGCACTGGTTCGAACCCCTCTCTCTCTCTCTCTCTCTCTCTCTCTCTCTCTCTCTCTCTCTCTCTCTCTCTCTCTCTCCCCAACTTGTATTAAGCCAACGTGTGTACTTAGGTGTTTAGGATTGGCCTGGAATTGCGTGCTGCAATTTTCCCTATTTTCCCCATTTGGGCTCTTTTCCTTGTCTTTCTCTCTACCTCATCCTTCTCACTCTGCCTCTACACTCTATTCTGCCCTTTCTGTTTCCTCTCTTCGTCTATCGACTGCACCTCTTCTCAATCTCCTGTCCTGTTCCATTTTCTATATTTCTTATCGATTTTCTTCACACTGACTCTTTTTTTTTTCCTCCTTGCCGTCTTTCCTCTTACATTTTTTCCCTCTTTCTCTTCTTTCCCTTTTCTTTTTCTCTCTCTTGTCTCTTCTCTCTTTCCTTCTGTTTATCTTCTCTTTGCTCACCCTCTTCCCATCTCTTTATTCTGTTGCTTATTTTTATCTCCCATTTCACTTGCCTTCAATTCTTCTCCCCATCTCTCAAGCCCTTTTCTCTCATCATCCCCTCCACACCCCCCTCCCTCTCTCAGCCCCTCCACAACCCCCTCTCAGCCCCACCACACCCCCCTCCACTCTCAGCGTCATCAGCGAGAACCAACAGTTGGGTCTATCACGCAGCTCGTCGCTGCCGATGCTCAACGTGTATCAAAATTGTGACCACAAATTCAGAAACTTTTTACACAGCAATCTATCCTGGTATAAGGGAAGAGCAGACTGGGGGAAGAGTGAAGTCCTGGCCTATATATATATATATATATATATATATATATATATATATATATATATATATATATATATTATAGGCACTGATTCGACAGGTCAAATGGCTATTGTGTGCTGATAGTCGTCTTTAAAACATAAACAAAATGTATTACATTTCCTAGACATTGGAAAAATCAATATTTGATCTGGCTTAGATCGAACATAGAGTCCTTCAATCCGGTCTGTTTTAATGGCGTTGATGTGCCATTATCAGCGAGTATCATCAATACTCGCTGCTATCATTAATCTACACCCCTCCCCACCCCCGAGACCACAACGGACGTTCCCGAGACCTCCCGCCTGTCAATCATAGTCGTTCCAAGACTTCCCAAGTAGGTTAGAGTCTTTCCCCAGACCTCTGCTGTCTGTCATAGTCTGTCTCCGGGATTTTGCTTGTCCGCCATATATTCACTGGCTTGTCTCGGCACTATATCAAATTCCTCGGAGCTGCCAGGCACTCTCGCTAGAACTGTCTGTTCCTTCTTTAGCTCTGTCGCGGACTCCTGTCATCCTTATATCCTCCTAGACCCTTCCTAGTATCCTTATACCCTCCTGAACCCTTCCCAGCATCCTTATATCCTCCTGGACCCTTCCTAGTATCCTTATATCTTCGTGAACCCTTCCCAGCATCCTCACATCCACCTGGACCCTTCCTAGTATCCTTATACCCTCCTGAACCCTTCCCAGCATCCTTATATCCTCCTGAACACTTCCCAACATCCCTATGTCCTCCTAAACCCTTCCCAGCATCTTCATATCCTCCTGAATCCTTCCTAGAATCCTTATTTCCTCCTGAACCCTCCCCAGCATCCTTATATCCTCCTGAACACTTCCCAACATCCTTATATCCTCCTGAACCATTCCCAGCAGCCTCATATCCTCCCGAATCCTTCCTAGAATCCTTATATTCTCCTGAACCCTTTCCGGCATCCTTATATTCTCCTGAACCCGTCCCAGCATCCTTTTATCCTCCTGAATCCTTCCCAGCATCCTTATATCCTCCTGAATCCTTCCCAGCATCCTTATATCCTCCTGAACCCTTCCCAGCATCCTTATATCCTCCTGAACCCTTCCCAGCATCCTTATATCCTCCTGAACCCTTCCCAGCATCCTTATATCCTCCTGAATTCTTCCCATCACCAACAATTTAACCTAGATTGGCTAGGTTATTTTTCTGAAAAAACGAAGTCCCAATTCAATTTGATAAACGCTTTATTTATACGTAACAAATGGACACAAAGTTAGTAAGTAATTATCAAAAGAAAGCACCAAGCCTGAAAGACTATTTAGCAAATGAAGGTCAAACTTGTGTGAAATAATTAATCGTTGATTGGTCTCCTTTCAGGGTTGGTTCAAGAAACTTTTTTGATTAGTTGGACAGCTTTGCCTTGAGGAACTGGATTCAATTTATCATTTAGAACGTTCACACTGAAAACCTTTAGTGATATACAATGGATGGGGAAAGTTTTATCATTTAATGGTTCCATGTCTGAAATTTGTTGGGCAGAGGCTCATGGACATTTTGCAATATATTTGGGTCAATAGACCCAAATATGAAACAAAAATAATATATAAAAAGTCAATAATGGGTCTTTTTTTTTACCGACAGACGGATATATATAGATTGGTAGGCTAACAGACAGACAGTAAAACTGACTGACAGACAGACAGTAAAACAAGACCAGGAGAAACTGGGTTAGAGATGATTTGTGCCATTTGGACAGGACATTATATTGAGTGATATTCATTTTGGCTTTACTATACTGCTGATGTTCCAGCTGACGTTAGAGCTGACAGTCTCTCTGACGGCCCCAGCTGACGCTACTGCTAACGACGCCATTGACGACACTAATTAAGGTCAGCTTTTGGACCCCGCCTTTCTAACCACCCTATTTTTCCTCTATTATATATACTACATATTTTTCTAACTCCTAAACACACATCCCCAGGAAGCAGCCCGTAAGAGCTGTCTAACTCCCAGGTACCTATTTACTGCTAGGTAACAGGGCGCATCAGGGTGAAAGAAACTCTGCCCAGTTGTTTCAGCCTCTGCCGGGAATCGAACCCAGGCCATTTGGACAGCCAAGACGTGTCCACTCAGCCGCGAGGCTGTGTGCGTGTGTGTGTTTATGTGTATGTACTTACCTAGTTGTGCTTGCGTGGGTTGAGCTCTGGCTCTTTGGTCCCGCCTCTCAACTGTCAATCAATGTGTGTGTGTGTGTGTGTGTGTGTGTGTGTGTGTGTGTGTGTGTGTGTGTGTGAACACGGGTGTTTTGCTTAGAAAGCAATAACGAAATTAATTAATAATGCAAAGCAGCAATTTCAGTCCGAAACTCAGTCGACCTTTCGACCTCCGGGGGACTATCAGAGCCGCCCACTGAGACTCCAGACACAGACAACGGAATTGCACCAGTCGGACCCTCAGAGATAGAGCCTCTTACAGTGACCCTCACTTGCAGAGTACCATTAGACGCCTCCACTATGACCTTCCCCGGGTACAACTCTCCTGATGGATCAAGTCCAATATGTCGGGCGTGATGGCGTCATTTCGGCGCGTCCTCTGATATGACATCCTGGAATACGATACCATCAGGAGGTCGTCTCTGGCGGCTGCTGCGCCTACCCTAGCCTATCCTCCTGCACCTAGCCTATCCTCCCCGCCCAGGGGCGCTCTCTGAGCTGCGGCGGCGGTAAAGGAGAGTGTGATGGGCTCGTTCCCTGGTGGTATTCCGTAACTGGATGTCTGTTTACTGCGCCTACATGGCAGGACGAGGCTTGACAAACCCCGTCAAAGAGGAAATACCATCATGGGAGTATGGTAGTTCGGCGGCTTTCCTCCCTGGTATCACGCAGCGAGGGTGAGAGCAAAGTGAAAGTGTCGAGTTTTGGGGGCGAGATACAGCAGCAGCAGCGGTAGGGCACTGTGTCTTGGCCTCGGGTACTGGAGCCGGATATAACCAACAAAAGATATCATGACGGTGTGGCAATGGTGATATAGCTTATTACAACAACAAATTTGTTTCGGTTACGTTGTGTGTATAATATACGTGATGTAAACAGCCACTATACATATCTATACATGTATACATACATAGGACGGCTTCTTTTCTCCAAGCAACAAACGGACAATTCATCATCATATTATATATATCTGGATGCTGTATTCATCAGGACGTTATATTCATAATTTATGTCATATCAATTTAAAGAGAAGTCTTCGTGATAAAATATTGAGGCAATTTGGTAGGACGTGCGAGTGACTGGGAGGTCCGGGTACGCAGGTTCGAGCCCAATCAATTGCCTCAATATTTTTCCATTGATAAATAACATTAATGTGATTTCTTCAGCGCTTTATTAACACAGGTACATATGCAATTGTATAGCATCCCGAGAATATGTAAAGGGTTGGAAGCTCTGTCACCTGTAGCCACCTGCCACAGGTAATGGTAGCCACCTGCCACAGGTAACGGTAGCCAACTGCCACAGGTAATGGTAGCCACCTGCCACAGGTAACGGTAGCCACCTGCCACAGGTAACGGTAGCCAACTGCCACAGGTAATGGTAGCCACCTGCCACAGGTAACGGTAGCCACCTGCCACAGGTAACGGTAGCCACCTGCCACAGGTAACGGTAGCCACCTGCCACAGGTAACGGTAACCCAACCTGATCCTGGCAACCACTGTGTCGCACAGACTGGTCGACGTTTTGTGCTGCCCATAAACATAGGTTTCAGATCTAAACAAAAAATAACTCTTTACACTGGTGCTTTCAGAGCTTTAGGAGTCGCTAATTTATTTTCCATTAGACCTGATTTGTAGCAGTCTGAAACAGTCTGAAACAGTCGATGTAGCAGTTTGAAACTGCTAGTGATGAGTCGTAATTTTTGTAGTTTTAACATGTTTACATAATATGTTAAAAGTAATATATATCACGTATACATCACTTATATATGTTGCATAACCTGAGAGTTTGGGTAGGTAGGATATGGGTGATGCTCGTCTGATTATTCAGTATGATCTTATGCTCTCTCTCTCTCTCTCTCTCTCTCTCTCTCTCTCTCTCTCTCTCTCTCTCTCTCTCTCTCTCTCTCTCTCTCTCTCTCTCTCTCTCTCTCTCTCTCTCTCTCTCTCTCTCTCTCTCTCTCTCTCTCTTGCGGCTCATCAGTATGATCTAATTCTTTGATGGGAGTGCCTACCCTTCCTCACTCAGTGAAGGGAGTGCCTACCCTTCCTCACTCAGTGAAGGGAGTGCCTACCCTTCCTCACTCAGTGAAGGGAGTGCCTACCCTTCCTCACTCAGTGAAGGGAGTACCTACCCTTCCTCACTCAGTAAAGGGAGTACCTACCCTTCCTCACTCAGTGAAGAGAGTACCTACCCTTCCTCAGTCAGTGAAGGGAGTACCTACCCTTCCTCACTCAGTGAAGGGAGTACCTACCCTTCCTCAGTCAGTGAAGGGAGTACCTACCCTTCCTCACTGTGAACATTTTATGCGTGATCAATAATCTATAGCAGCGGTCTGGGAATGCAAGTTGCCTCCTCTCAGGACTGTTGTGAAGGAGAGCAGCTTTAAGAGCTAGAGTTATCACCGCTTCCTGCATCGTCCGGCCGCCGCCGAGGTCAACTTACGACCTGTTTCAACTAATTGAATTCCTGTGCCATCTGTTAGCATCCGTCACAGCCGCCGGCAAAGCTGAGCTTGACCCGCAGAGACAAATGACTGTAGTAGCCACACTGGCGGCTCTTTGTTATGGTGGCCTTCGACACCAGCAAATGGCCATTAAATGAAAATGCCTCTGCTGGGTTATTTATGAGGCGGGGAGGACCGAAAGTCCGCTCGTTGATGGAAATATGGGAAAGTAGTTTATAGCACACTGGCGGGTTTGTTTTGGTACTGTACAGGAAGTAGTATGGTGACGTAGATTAAGGGTCACCAGCAATGGCATACATTTTATCTTGGATGAATTTATGGACTTTTGTTCAATAATAAATGGCTTTCATCACCAGCAGAAACTCATATCTTCAGCCTCACTATTGATCTTTGGCAACAAAAAAGGGGCAATGAGGATCAAAAGGTTCCGCTAATAGGCTGTCACTCATAATGGGTCTTGTAGACGTAGTCAGAGGTGCGGTGAAACTCAACTCCAGACGTGCAGTCTCGTGTTATAAGGAGAGGATTTTCCCGTCCACAAATCTTGAAGATTAGTGGAAGTTGCTTCGGTGAATCGCTGGCAGAGTCACGACGTGTATGGCCCTGGACCTAAGCCAACCCAACCTAATCCAATCTAACCTAACCTAAACCCAACCTAACCCAACCCAACCCAACTCAACCCAACCTAACGCAACCCAACCTTTCTTTGACCTCCACTCTCTAAATTTACATAATCATCTACGGTTATGAATCGCGTAAATGATTCACAGATTGTATTTGTAAATCTACTGTTTGGGTGTATTTTTACGTGACACCATTTTTCCCAGTGTTTCTTTACTCGGCTGACTCGTAAGAGAGTAGCCCAACTACTTCTGTTGGACGGTAGAGCGACGGTCTCGCGTCACGCAGGTCGGCGTTCAATCCCCCAAGTGGTTGGGCACCATTTCTAATGCTAAAATCCTAATTCTAATCTCATCCAAGTGCCATAGTTACTCATCCACTGTTTTTAGCTACTGATAAGGGACTACGGATAGAAAAGTTTCAGTTACTCGTAAAGGAGGTTACGGGTAGCAAATTTTTTATTTCTCTTGAGGAACTTCGTATAGTAAAGTTTGAAGTAAATTGCCAAAAAATAGATTCAATTACACAACGATTTCTGTTCGAAATCCACGTTGATAATTCCTTTTATATTTCGGTATCTTTATTTGTGTTTATGTGCAAAATTTTTGTGTTTGGATGAAATTTTTTGAGGACGTAACCATAATGGGGTCTATATCTACCTCAGTCTGGAAAA